ATCCTTATGAGTAATAGAATTGAATCGAGTGCACGTGCATCCCATTCTTGGTATTGTTGGTGTACAAAAATATAGCTAATAAAAAGGGGAAAGGGGCTTCATAGTTTAATTTACTCTAATCCTGCATAAAAAGAATTTCAAGTGCCATGACTGTTGAGGATTCCCTATTGTTTATTATTTTCATTTATTTAGTACGAAATGTTTTTTATTATAAACTATATTCATCATTTTATTTATTATTACATCTTTTTTATTACAAACTATATAGCTGAGATACATATTTGTCTTTCTAGCATAATCATCTGGCTGTGGTACTTTGGCCCAGATGCAGCAGCCTACAATAACAGCGTACTGTACTGAATCAACTAAATATAAGTCTACACACACTCTTCAGAAGCAAATCACTAACAAACTCATCAATTTTATTGCCGGTACACTGCAACCATTCTCAGTGGTGAAGTCAATAGATTTTCAAGATCTAATGGCAGCCATGGATTCTTGGTATTTTCTTCCCAGTTGCAAGCATCTGTTCCATAGTGTTGATCGAGAGCAAGTTTGATGAAGTCCATATCTTTACTGCAACTTGTATCTAACACCAATGTCACTGTGGATATCTGGAGAAGGGGACGAGTGCACAGCTCTCTTGCAGTCACTGGTCATTTTATACATGATTGGAAAATGCAAACAGTCATGAAGATTCCCCAGGAGAATTTGGATAATCTAGATTCCAGTACATCGAAACTTACTTTTCATGATCGAACTGTGGTTGCACATTTGGTGACAATACTGACGCCTTTTGAAGAGGCAACAGATTTCACCCAGGGTCAGAACATTATTACCTCCAGTTATGTGGTGGCATGTCTTAATGGGCTGATGGCTGAGATTGACAGCATGCAGTCCAGATATCATTTCAATCTTGTCTCTGCACTGAAGAAATCTGTTCATGCCTGGCTGACTCACTATGAGCAACAAAGTGTCTTCTGCTTAACTGTGGCATTGGATCCCAGATTTAAACTTGACTGGTGTTTCACTAGACCTATGGTCTATGAATCCAATTGAATGATCCTACAGCAAAAAGTCAAGAAAGTCTCCTCAACAAATAAACCATAGGACCAAAAGAGGACTGTAAATCCCCCCCCTTGCAAAAGAAATAAGTTCTTTAGTTTTTTTGCTGCCTCCAAGAAACCAGCCACCTCATCTGCATTGGATACAGCGATCAACATCTACCTCAATGGTCCTTGCATTTCTGAAGAAAGCAACCATCTAGACTATTAGGAGATTCATGAAAAAACTTTCCTACCCTATCTGTACTAGAGAAATGCTACTTGAGTGTTCCAGCATTCTCTGCCCCCTTAAACACTTGTTTAGCATTAGAGGCAAAACCCTCAGACCTGATTGCTGCCACCTCACTGACAAGACATTTGAGAGACTGATGTTCATAAAGAGCAATGGACAGTTATAATATCTATAAGTCTCCTTTAAAAATTTTTTGTTGTTGTTATAAAACTGTTATTGCATTTTGAAAAATAAAACTATTGAAATGTTATTATTTGCTCAAATTTTGTTTCAGTTTCTAAAAAGTTTGTTTCATAAAATAAATGTATTGAAATCTTATCATTTGCTGTTTTATCATTATTGCATATTACCTGACAAAGTATTCATGTATCAGTTTTCGTATTCATATTCATAAATATATGAAGTATTTGTATTCGATTACTGATCTCCAGTATTTGCTCCATCCCTGATAACTAGTGTAGATAGCCTTCAAATAACCTTGCACAAAATTCAACAAACTTAAAAATATATACCTTTTGATTCACTCGCTAATGAAATAATATGTTTAAAACAATAAGTGTTTTTAAAGACATTTTGAATTATGTGAGTTTCAGAGATGTAAGGAATGATAAATATAATGTTTCACTTTGAAAGTTAATTGGTTATGCTGATCATGAAATTACCTAAGATAAGACTCATTCATGGTTAGTTAAATATATCAAGAATGAAAATTCAGTATGCTTTTGTGTAAACTTGTTTTTTTAGGTCATAGTTATAGCAGTTTACAAACCCTGTACTAAGGATTCTCTCATTCTTTTATTAAACACTTACTTTAACTATTTACTATAAAAAGATATTATTAAAAATCTCGTTCCTTAATTTTATTTTATTTTTACTTTCAGCCAAATTCTTTCTATTCCTGGAAATGACTGGTGCTGTGACTGTAGATCTCCAGAGCCACGCTGGGCTAGTATTAACCTTGGTATTACCTTGTGTATTGAGTGTTCTGGTATACACAGGTTAGTTGACATGACTTTCTTGTATTATTTATGAGATGAGTGACTGCTGTTAAAATGAAGTCATGGTGTCTAACTTTTTTATGTTAAGTTCGGTTATTTGCTGTACTATTTACAAGTTTTCATGGATGTTTACCATGATGTGTCCCGTATCTTTGTTCGATATACAATATCATTAACGTAGCCCCATAGACATTATTGAACTAAAGCAAAAGATAACAGATGCGATTGCAACCATTGATGAGGCTATGCTACAGCGAACATGGCAAGAAATCGAGTACCATCTTGATGTGCTTCGTGCGACTAATGGTGCCCATAGGGAGGTGTATTAAATGAGGTAAAAAAAACTTTGAAAACCACTGAGTACAATAGAACAAGTCTGATAAACCATTGATGAGGCTATGCTACAGCGAACATGGCAAGAAATCGAGTACCATCTTGATGTGCTTCGTGCGACTAATGTTGCCCATAGGGAGGTGTATTAAATGAGGTAAAAAAAACTTTGAAAACCACTGAGTACAATAGAACAAGTCTGATAAAGATATCTTATCCATTGCCTTTGTAATAAATTTTTTAAATTGTAAAAATACTTTATGGACACCCTGTACTTTTGAATTATATTTCTGGGTCACCAAACAGTTTTCATGCTTTTTGACTGCATTTACATAGAAATTATTATTTTAACCATGAGTTTCAGACAGACAGCCAAACAAGTGAGCGAAGTACTTCACTCCTGCAGTGGTAAAATCCTGTAATCCCCTGAAAGGTATCCTCCTGATGCATGTGACTCCCTCTATGTGTGTTTGGAAATTAGAGAATTCAACTGCATTATAAATTGATTGTCTTGCAAGCTGTGCCTAAAATTTTATTATGGATTAAACTAATTTTTAATTGTACTAAACTAGTTAACCCTCATGCTATGTGTAGTTCACATGTCATAATACAGAGTTGCATTCAAACTTAATTATGTTACTTTACTATCAGTGTATGCATATAAACTTTCTATCAAAACATAGTTAATAAATCAAATCTTAGTATTATGCTGGTTTGAATTTCTTAATTTTAAAAGGACTTATTTAAATAAATTCTCCATCTCCTCTTGTATGAGAACTGTGACATTTGTCAGCTACATCTTCCCCATCCTCTCTTTTTTTATCACTCCTCTCTGATGTAAATTACTTATTATAATATATAGATATTTATAAGGCAAAGCCTAATTTTTATAGCCTTCAATCTTCTTTGTTTATGGAGACAAACTAGAAAGACAGACTCGCTTGCCGTGCCCACCTGTCACATCCTCTCTTTCATATATTGCCAATAATTCTCTCTGATGTTTTCTATTACATCATGTATAACAAATTTTAAAAGTTTTAATTTAGTGAATGATGCATAATGCTAGGTTGTTCTCAGTACAGAGTTACTTGGCCTACAGGTTGAAAATTTCTTTTATTTATCTCAGATTAAGTAGCTAAGAGCATTCTTTTAAGGCACTTGTGCTTTAGTTATAAAGCCAGTGAAATTATAATATTTATAGGACATTGTTTGTTTTGTGCATGTCATTCTTCTGTGTTCTTATATGCATTCTCCAATTCAATAAAAATTATTTAATGTACTAGTACCGTCATTACGAAAAAAGTAGTAATTAATTTCATCAGTGGGCCAACAGCAAAAAAGTGAGGTATAATGTAAGTACTAAATTTCTTGTTTTTTATGAATATCTTTTATTTATTTTTATAAAAGTAACTAAAATGTAAAAATTAGGAACTTATTGGGTTAGATTAGGTAGGATAATGAAAATAAAACAAAAATTTCTCCATGCTCAATATGAAGCTCATGCATTACATCATTCATTATAGTAACTTGAGCTACGCAATTGCTGATTAATTTACAGCTTATATTGCAAGGATTATTGGTTAGACATGGTTCAAAGGACAATAATATTGAAAAAGACGTAGATACTGACAAGCCTTAAGTTATTTAGGATTCAAAATTTTAGTTTTCTGTTACAATCTGCAATATTTTTAGAAAAAACAATAAGGTAATTTAGATTTATTTTTCATATTTTGAAGGGTTTACAATGTTGGTCAAATTGACCAAGTCCATGTAAAGTTAGGATAGGAAAAATAACAGATAAAGAAAGAAGTTTTACTGGAAAAAAATGTTTAATATTTGTTAAGGAAGTATAAGATGTTATGCAAATGAAATTTGAAAAGTTTCAGATGAAGAAAAGTATTTTTCATGTTAACAAGAAAATCACCTTCTACTTGGACCAGTCAACACTCTAACTTCATATATGCACAGATAAGTTTATATTAAGAATACTTAATTAGAAAATCTGATTTCTTGTGTACAAAAGTCTTGTAATGTTTACTAACACTTTGCCACATTTTGTGAAGATATAATAAGTACTTTTAGAGTTATATACTTTCATGGTTGTTACAAAGTCATGTAAAATACAAGAGCTCATGTCCATAGGGTTAACTGTTACAAAAATATCTGAATAATTTCACTGACAACTTCCCATGAAACAGATGTATCTTTGCTGTTCTAATTGATTTTTTATATCATTTGCTAATCAATTTTAAAACAGATAGATGATCTTTCCAAGATAATTTTGTCTTTTTGTAATTTCTAGAATACAGCTAAAGTCCTTAGAAGTTGTTAGATTCTAGTTAAAAGCTTGTAGTTTTGTTTTTATTATGTTGTTCAGTGGTAGCTAGTGGTTAGTTTAATCCTCTAAGTAATCAGGTTGAATATTGAAGACTAACTTGATGGTCTGTTATTTCTTCTGAATGATAATAAAATGCATTCAAGTGAAATATTAATAATAAGTAATTGGTATTTAAATAAATAATATTGTGTTATTAATATGTACCTTAATTCTGATTTGTAAAAGTAATTAAATAATAAAAATTTATAATAATTACAATTCACACCAAAATAGTTGAAATTGATGATATAAATAGTGCCTAGACCACCATTATTTCTGTCTTATCCCAACCAGCCCTGATGAAGACTGGTATGAGTGAAAGGTCTTGTTAGCACTAGATTTGACAGATGTAGTGTGGTTGACATATAGGTACATATTATTCTTTGCCTTGACTCATGAGATCTTAGAATGACTACTGGTTTAGTCTTTAAAGTTATCAATTGCATATGATTTGTTTTTTGATGTTTGGAAGTTTTAGGGTTTATATATATCAACTAATCTGATTTTAAAAAGTTGTACATAACATATGTTTGTTTTGATTGTAATTAGGGTTGTTAAAAATTTGTCTAGCAATAGGTTTATTCTTCAGAGGTTTTCAGGTTATACATAATATGTGATTTAGTCTTCAGAAAATATCAGGTTGTATGCATAAATGACTCATTTGTTTTTCAAAAGTTTTAAGACTACTTAACATTTTTATAAGTACTTAGAAGGTGTCGATTTGTTCATAACTGATGGTTCTATTATGTTCTCAAATATTGTCTATGTGTAACAACTGGTTTAGTTTTAAAACTTTTCAAAATGTCATAATATGCTAGTGTTTAGAATTATATTGTTCTTAACACATTGTTTAATTTTAAAAATATCATATTGTACATACAAAACTTGATATTTTACATATTTTATATATTTATTCAGGAGCTTGGGTGTACATGTGTCAAAGGTTAGGTCACTTACTTTGGATGCCTGGGAACCAGAGTTGCTGAAAGTGATGGCAGAACTGGGGAATGTTGTTGTTAATGGTATTTATGAGGCAAATGTTGATGAAAAAATTGCAGTACGTGCTACATCTGATTGTTCTCGGTAAGGAAAGAGATATAACAGGTGTTACAGAAGTCACTGCTGTTGTTCAGATGACTGCAAGAAACTGGTGGACATTGTTTTTAAACTTGGTGTTAAGACCAGTTTGACCATACAGAAGACCACAGTATAAAAACCATCACCCATACCTTACACATGTCAAATTCATCTACGTACTGAGTTGTGCAATATTGTGTCTATCAATTTCTAGAACACAGGCATCTGAATGGCAGAAGTAACATTTGAAACACCAATACTTTATTAGAAGTCCTGATTGAGATTTCGTGATATATTAAATTGACAGCAATAATACTAAAATTGAAGCTGTTAACCAGTAACTCACCTTGGATCTTCCCATTTTTTAAGAACTAAAGTTAAAATAGTAGACATAATATATCCCATTGCAGCTACATACAGTAGGAAGAAAATAGTATTTTATAATGTCTAACAGAACTTTCTATCATGCTTTGTACTGCTAAATAATGTCACCCGAAGAATATTTTTGTAGTGATTTTTTCTAAATTCTTTGGTGTGTATTTTCAGTACTCTGAAGTTAAATGGCCAGTATGCAAAAAATTATAATTTAAAGAATTCTCGCCTGTGTCTTACCCTTACAACTTTTTTACAGAGGGGGTTTCTGGGGATATCCTTTCTCTTCTTTCTTCCACACTAGCTCGTTTGCTGTCTTTGGCTCTTTTGTTGGGACCTTTTAGGTCATGATGTGGATTTGGCTTGGGTCTGTCTAACATCTACTTAGTTCCAGGATTTATGTTTGGCCCCATTTCTGCAATGATGCTTTTTTCACATGCTACCAGAAACAGTTAGAGTCACAGGTGGCATCAGTCCAACAACAATCTACCCTTACTAATATTGTTGCACATTTGTCTCAATCAGAGCCCCATATGCCTCCTATTACCATTTCCCATCCTTCCCAACCTTACCTGTCCCTTCTTCTTGGGGGTGACTCTTCTCATTTGTTTTTTTTTTTTATATGACAGCACTTCAAGTTGGCAAAAGTACTGGAGACTACCCAGTGGGTTCTGCTCCGATAGGAGCTCTGCTTGCCGATTTCTTATCCCTGGGGTTCCTTCGTGAAGGATCAATGAGTTCTTCAGGTTTTGTCAGAAGGATTCATGATCCTCTTCCTTTCTCCACCTTGCATATCTCCTTTCCCCATTTCCTTCCCTCCTTCTCGGAATCCCATGGCCAGTAAGTGTTTGTCGGAAGTGGTTTGAGAATTGCTATCTCACCAGTCATCGAACCTGTTCTACATTCTTCAACAGGTTTCTATTCCCGACTTTGTTCACCTGCCCCAGTTTACCATGGAGTCTTTTCTTACCAGGAGGTAGGCATTTTCTCTGGGTTTATGGATAACCAAAATGGATCTTGAAAGGTTTATCTCATTATAACTATATCACCTCGGTCCAGTCCTTATCTTCAGTTTGTCCATCTCAGGGTGGTTTATCAATCTCGTGCACTACCATTTAGGTTTCCTTCAGTCTGTTAAGTGTTCTGTTGGGTAGTCCAAGTACCTTTCGGCATCTTCATGCTCTGGGGTTGAGTTTCTATATTACCTAAATGACTGGCTTCTTCTGGCACATTCAAAACACCAAAGGAGCGCTCGGTCAAGAGATATATGTTTTTGGCTGTGGAATCTCTAATACTGGGCCCACATGCAAAACATTCATCTCATTGTGTGTTGTGCTGGGAGCTATCACTCTTCTTGTGGATCGTCTTTTCTGCTCTGACTGGATGTATCCAACAGATTAGTCCTTAGATCCCTTTGTTTTCAGTTAGCTTTGCTCTTGGTGGGGTTCTCCCCACATGGATGCATTTCCTATGAACCTTAATTCACAAATTACCTCTCTTTTGGTCACCAGTTCCTCAGGCTCTGGCAGTTGATGCGTCCAGCCAATATTGATCCCACTTATGTCTTTATGTTTATCCTTCTAACTGACTAATTCAGCAAATGATCTCTCTCATCCATTCCACTCCTTCTGATTGTTCCTTATTGGCCAGCTCATCCATGGTTTCTGTAGTTACAGCACCTACTACTCTTCCTACCTTCTTCGTCAACCTCAATTGCAGGTCTTTCATTCCGACCTTCACGTCCTACTTCTTCTTGCATGGCTTTTCTCCAGTTTTTGGCAAGGAGTTTTGGTTCCATACATACTTCTTCCATGGAGGTGTATCAGCGCAAGTGGATGGTGTTCCGCAATTGGGATACAACTCCAGGATTTCCTGCTGACCACCTACTCTGGCTCGGGTGGTGGATTTTCTCACTTGGTTTTTGACTGGGAGTTCTCAGTCTTGTTGCTTTTGGGTTATCAGGTGGCTTTATCCCATATCTTTTGTTTTTCTTGATACCGTAGCATTTTTACTTTACCTGTCCTTGCCATGCTCCTGCATTCCTTCCAGTTGCATCGCCCTCCCAAGTGACCTACCCTTCAGGATTGGGATGTTAATGTGGTACTCCATTCCCAAACTTTACCTCTGTTTGAACTACTTTCCTTGTGTTCCATTTTTCACCTTTCCCTTCAAATCTATTTCCTTCTCCTCTTAGCCTGTGGGACATTGATAGTCAGATTTATTTGCCTTTGACTTTTCAATACACCTTATCATCCTACCTGTCTTCTCCATTATCCAGATCATTCCTTCCTCCCAAAGACCTCTGTGACTCAGGAGGGTGGCTCCTCCCTTTCACCTATTTCCATTCATTCCATTTCTCATCTTTATCCTCAACCAGATCCAGAGAGGCTTCTGTGTCTGATCAGGGCACTTCATTGTTATATTGTCTGTCTGGCTTCCTTCTGTAGTACCTGTTACTGACTCTTTATCCCCTGTCTTCCTTCCTTTGTGATCTTTCACTTTCAAGCCTTACTAATTGAGTCCAACTTTTGAACCAAAAGACTTATTCCTCCCTGCCTTCTTACTTTTAGAATCTCTTCTGGGTGTCTTCTCATCAGATTTGACATCTCTCCTTTTCCCTAGCTTCTCGTCTTCATTGTCCATTGGAGGAAATTCTACAGTCAGGCATGTAGACCACACCTAATACGTTCATCTTCCATTATCTACATCATATCATGGTTTCTTCTTTATCGAGTTTTCGCTTTCCACCTGTGGCTGTTCTTAAGACTTCAGTGCAATTCTGACTGGTAAGTTTCTATTCATACTTTCTTTTCAGGGGCCTTTTTCTTCATCCCTCATTATATGGATCCCACTCTGTGATGAGTGGTGCCTGACCAGGTATTCTTTAACTTGAAATCCGCATTGTACAGTCATGTTGACTCACGCTTTATATTCCATAGGTTTACAATGGCCATTGTTGAGATGGACTGTTCCACAAGATTGCTCATTGCAATATTTTGTCTGTCCCAGACCGTACCACCCATGAACTGCATAGGTAAAGCAGAAGGGAATCCATGCCATGTCTGTAGTGAATAGCTCGGTATGGTCTGCTATTCAAAATAGATTTCATGGTCACTCATTGCACTGTCACAAGTGATGACGTTCCTCCAAACTCTTCACTGCCTTTTCACCCTCCTTTCTTCTAGTGGAGTGTGGGGGAGTCCTTACCACTTTCCAGTTCCAAGCTGCTGGGGTGGTCGACTGTGGAGGTAACCTCTTGAATGGATTCCACACAAAGATGGCTATAACCATTCAGTGCAGAGTAGAGCAGTGGTGTTCTTCAGTATAGATGACCTAATGTCCTCATCTTTACGATATACAATTACAAAGGAGTGATAGGTCAAAATGCAGTTCACTCCTTCAATTCCGAACCCTCATTTTACCACTGTGCAGATGTCGATACCCTGCAGCCAGGTTTTGGATTTAGAGTAGAACCAATCAACATAAGTCCTCACACATGTTTTGGGTTGTCTATCTTCCTCCCTCAATTTTCCTTCGTCTGTGTTGTGGGTCACAGAGGATTGTTACAGTTCTGTCCCGCCCCCCAGTGGTACAGCGGTATGTCTGCAGACTTACTAGAATCTGGTTTTCGATACCCGTGGTGGGCAGAGCACAGATAGCCCTTGTGTAGCTTTGTGCTTAATTACAAACAGTTCTGTCCTTTGGTTCTCCCTTGTCCTATCTTAATACGGGATGTTATTGCCTTTTGGATGGTTCCAGTAAGTTTCCCAGTTGGAAGAGTTGATTGCATGCAATAGACATCCTATTGATCCCAGTTGTCAGGTCCTTGGATCAATAGCTTAGTTCTAATACTTGTGTCATACCTGGGAGACGGTGTGATTCTCAATTCCCCATTCTCTTGTGTTTGAGATGAAGATGTTATGATTCTCATCCTACCCCCGCATGGATGCTGGTTCCCAGCAGCATAAGTTTTGGATGTAGTTGACTCACCGATTACAGTCTGTTGCACCCTAACCACTCTAAACCTGAGGGCACATCCATTGTTTTATCCACTTTTCTATTCAGGGGATTGAGTTATATTTATTTTATATGGTTAGGATTATGATCCTGACACAGTTCTCTCCCACTTTTAAGTGCTCCTCTCCTTTTCTTCTCTTATCTTCTCAACATTTCACAGAGGGGTGAAGAGTATACCTTTTTCAAAAGTGGTGCAGTTCTCCTTATCTAATCTTCAGATCTAACTCATTTCAAAGCTTTCAGGGGGTACTTCTATCATTCCCTTTCCCTCACACCAGTCCCTCCTCCTAATCAATGTGGGATTCCAGCTAATTTTGTGAGCCGAGGTATCAGAAGTTATAATTTTCCTATACTAAAAATGTATTTCAGATAGGTACTTACCTCTTCTAACACTTCTCACGCCTTCCTCTGGTGCTTAAGTCTTCTGCCAAACTTCAAAGTGATATTTTGGTAGAGGAGTATAGAGGGAGTTACATGCATCACGTGAGTATGTCATGCTCCAATTGGTGGTGAAGTGATGCATGATGATTTGCATGAGAGACACATTGGAATTTTTTAATTCCAATAGGGGAGAGCAGAAGGTTTGTGGCATGCATAAAGAAAAGTTTGCATATAGAAGGCAGCACTGAATAATAGCTAATTTTGTGAAATGAGACAAGTACCTGTAGGAAATAAATTTTCAGTATAGGAAAATTATAACTTTCACTAATTTAAATTTCACCACTAGCAGCAGCATATCATAAAAAGTTTAGTTATTGAAATCATAAATCCCGATCATTTTTTACCATTGTATAGATAACCTTTGTCCTTAAATGTATTAATTGCCTATCCAAAATTGGAATGAATACCTTCCATTTTCAGGAGTCTAAGCACCAGATCATTAAAGATATTTATGATGTCTTTGTTGTATACCATGTATTCTGTGTACATAGTCTTTTCTCTTCACATAAGAGACTTCAGAATCTGTTTTGTAGAATATGGAAAATATCAATAACTGGGAAAAATCTATACAGTTGATACTAAATTATAGAGTAAACATAGTATGTTTAAGGCTTTATACCAAAGCTTACTGGAATACTGTTAGAAAAACAAGCATATAGGTTTGACCTGTAAAAAAAATTATCTGAATTTTATCCATTATATTAGCATTTTTTGAGATTTTTCCCCATTTTAGGCCAAAATATTTCAAAAATTGGTGGTTTAAGTTTTGGTTTAGTTCTAATGACCAAGTAACCAGTTGTTTCCAGATTATTATAATAAACTCATCTGAAATGCTTAGTTCTATTGTTTATTTAGTACTTTTTACATGCACACACACACACATATATAATTGCCTTAAAAACATTTATGCTACCCTAATTATTAAAAAGTGTCTGCTGTTTAAAACAACTGTTTTTAATAAAGAGTAAATGTGTTTTGTGTTTTTTAGATTACTCATACAACTAAACTACATAAGTTTATTTCCTTTCATTATATCAGATAGCAGTCATTAACATAATTAGTAACACAACCCCATAGTTGGGGGAGACATTTTTGTTTACTGATATATCTATTGCATTATGATCTAATAAATAGTTCAGTATGGTGATAAAACACTGACAGGTAACTATATTTAAAGAAGATTCTGTAATTATGTAAGTTGCTATTTTGGGCTAACATTTATATAAAATATTCTGAAAAACATAAATAATTTTAAGTATCAGAGATTTATCTTGATATGATAAATTTTTGGAGGATTTATATCACTGACCCGTTGCTTTACTGCACACTCACGGAGGATTGATATCACTGACCCGTTGCTTTACTGCACACTCACGGAGGATTGATATCACTGACCCGTTGCTTTACTGCACACTCACGGAGGATTGATATCACTGACCCATTGCTTTACTGCACACTCACGGAGGATTGATATCACTAACCCATTGCTTTACTGCACACTCACGGAGAATTGATATCACTGACCCATTGCTTTACTGCACACTCACAGAACTTTGTTATTCTTCCTACAAAGAAACGGAACTCTCCATTTTCAACCCACCTTACAACTTCATTGAAACTGAACATTTGTTTTGCCTGTTAGCCAATTTATATATAAGTTCTTAAATTTAGCAAAGACTACAAAAACATAGAGCTCATTACTTTTAAGTAAAGTACAGTTTTAAAGAGATTAAAGCAGATGATTGTATCAAATAGTACAAGATGATGCTTTCAAATTTCTATGAGAAAGAAATGCTGTTTATGTATTTTGCATCTAATTAGAGTGTAGCATAAGCAGGCTATGTGTTTAAACAAGCAAGTCCATACAGATACTTTTCAACAATTAAGTATTTGTAACTGTAATGAATTAGAAGCATGTGAATTCACAAACATTTAACTGCAAGAGATTTAACATTTTGCAACAGAGATACAGATAAGTCATTGTTGTCAAATTGAAATCATAATGAAGTACGTAGTCATGGATAATAGAGATTCTAGTTTATAATTTATTTTTTTAAAAAGGCTAGTTTTAAATTATTTTTAATGCTATAATGGTAGTTTTTGAATGGTATTGTAGTATTAATTTTGCTCATATTTTAAATACTCTGAGTTATGAATTTTTTCAGCATGCAACTAATTTTTTAATTTTGCAATCCTGCAATTATCCTCACACACACAAGATAAGCAAAATTTTTAAGGACTGAGTGACATTTCATGCATAACAAATATTATCTGAAGTCATAACATTAAGTGGATGAATCTACGTGTGAAAATATGTTAAAGAAAGAACACGTGAGAACTGATGCCTGACTTAACCCATACTTATTGTAGCAATGTTAAGCTTCAGAATTATCAGTTATCCATAATTCATTCTACTACTAAACATTAGTCTAAAAAATGAAACAACTTTGAAAAATGTTGTATTTAACTTAAGTTTTGGATTTAGGTTTTCACAATGGTTTGGTAACTCTTTCTTGAAAAAAATGTGTTTATTAACATAAAACAAACTTTTTACTAATTTTAGTGATAATTATTCTTATGGTGAGTGAATTCTAAGGATAACTGTTGCTGTGTTTAGAAACATAAGAGAAACTTGGATCAAAGCAAAATATGTGAAGAAAGCTTTTGTTCCGAGTTTACTTGGTTCCATACCTACAAGTAATGAAGAACATATACAAGGAATGCCAAGAAGATGGAGTGTATGTAAGAGAAACAGAAGACAGCGGGCCTTTCAAGTTATTCAAGGTAAGAGCAAAGAATCATAAAGATTATTGAAATCATTAGGAACTAAAAGCCTATTTTGACAATATCTAGAATTGTGAAATGTAAATGAGATATTTTATGTTCAGTGTTGTAAAATAGAGGTACTTGAAAGTGCAATACAAGCCTTAAGGAACACTTTTAGATACTCCCTGTCATGTGTAGATAATATTGTTCCTAATATAGCCAGCCCTTAGTCACCCTATGTATTTGTGTGAAGTATTCAAAAATGCTCAGTAAAGTCTTGTTATTGGGGTCTTAAGTTGATTAAATATACAATGCTTTGTATTCTCAGTTACCGTATTTTTCAGGAATATAAGACGCACCCTTATTTTGAAGACAAAATTTTGGGGAAAAAAAAGCTACAGTCGCATTTGAAAGATTTTTATTGAACAAAAATTCAATTTGATACTTTAAAAATTAGTGTATATTGTTCTAAACACAAAAGAGCTCAAAATAAGAAAATACCGTAAATCAAAAAAAAGGTTTACTGTTATTTAGTTTGGTTCAAAACCTACAAAATCTTTTAAAAGAAAAAAAACTACTATTGTTATAAATAACGCATTCAAATGAACTAAACTGTGCATGCCTATTTAAATATATTTACACATGGCTTGTGTATATCGTATATATACATATATATTATTCATACCTTCGGTGTATAGGATGCAAGCAGATTTTGACATCAAATTTTGGTGTAAAAAAAGTGTGTCTTATGCACCGAAAAATACAGTAATTTACAACTGAAGATATAGGACACTTGGTAACTGTGGGTGATTTTAGTTGGGTTTTCTTCATTGTTATAATTATAGTTATTTAAGCTCATTTTCAAATTATCAGTGCAAGACAATCGTTTTTTGTTTTATATCTTCCAGTGTTGTTAGTTGCACACTCACATATACCTATATTGAAACTCTTTCTTTAAAAATGTGTAATTTTCTGAATGTTAGATATAATTTGACAACTTTTAGTGGTCTTTCATAACGAAAGCATATAAGAGTGAGTATAAACAGAAAGTATTAGCCATATGAGACAGCACTATTACAAACTACATCAGATTGATGAGAGCTAGTTTGTTGAAAATTTCAGTTTTCATTTTGAGATTACATGCTGTTGCTAATTCTTTAACGAATCTGAGTTTGAATGATTTCATTATTATATCTAGCACACTGGTATATTTAGTTTTATTGTGTTGACTATAAACTACAGGGCTGCAACGAAACAAGTATTTTGCACTGTGTTTGTTTGTGTATGTATGTATGTATGTGTGTGTGTGTGTGTATATATATATTGTTTAAATTTGAAGTTGTTTTACTTAGTCTAAACTTGCTTGAATTGCAATTATATATGATAATTAATTTTAATATAAATGAAATTTAGATGTAGTAATGTACAAGTCCATTCCTATCCCAGTGTTTAGAATTTGTGAGAATTCCATAATAATTGAGTATGTGCTATACATGCAGAATTCAAGTACTTTCTCAATTTTGTTGTAGTTTAGAACATTAAGATTAGATACAAAGTAACTGTAGTAATTAAACTGACAATGTTAGTATTAAATTATCCACCAGAATATATACTGAAAGTATGTGATGTAAACTTGCAATACAAACTAGATGGTGGCTCTGTATATATGTAGCATTAAACTAACCACCAGAACAGTTACATTCTCAAAAGTAACAAGAATGTATTATAAACAGTTACATTTTACTGCTGGTCATTGACTGCTGTAGAATACATAATGTATGTTTCTGTATATTTATTTATTTAAACAAGCTACAAAATATTTTTTATAAAACAGATTACATCAAAAGGAAAGATAGCATGAATTTTACACAGCATATCCAAACCTTAGATGAAATACAATTAAAGTTCATTCTATAAAAAGAAAAAAAGAAAAAACACAGGTACAAAACAAACATCGAACACCAGGGCACAAAACATAAGGTGGGTCATTATGTAATGTTGCCTGGTGTGTTTTTTTTTTTAAGTACCAGCAAAAGTAAGACCCTTATAACTGACAGCCATTTCTATTTTATTACCTTAATCCCACAAATGGAGATTCAAATAAGCATGGAGCTTGTTAGCTTGTGCTAAACAAAAGTGATGCACATATCTTGGGTACCTTTGTATTGGATGAACTGTTCATTTGCTACATTCAAAATAGTGAAAAGGATTGGTTCATACCCCCAATTTATTGCATTACATTTTAAGTTTGGCAATGCTGAGTATCTTTGGTAGTTTGTGTGTTTGTGAATGTTAAACATGCTTAAAGATGATAATAAATGATAAAATTTAGGATGCAGTGGTTGCCATTACTTTTGTTTTACCTTACATTTTTCAGTCAAACTTATTGCCTAAATACAACTGAGTTTTTTAGTAAGAAGATATAGCTGATGAGACTGAGTTATGTATATGGCATATTGAAATGTGAATAATAGACAAAATGAGTAGAATGTATTGAAGTCAATTGTAGTTTCTCATTATTGTTTTGTAAGGTCCAAAATAAAGTACTTTAGCTATTTTGTTTGTAGAAAATTAATAATGTTCGAAAACATTATACAATATTTACCTTCAGTGCCTATTTACGTTGTTTCATCTTTTTGTGAAATATGGATTCGTGTAGCAACAGATTTCTGAATATAATTAGCTGGCTCAAGTAGTGGCTTACAGTTTGTTACACTTAGTATGTTACTGAACGGTAAATCTCATCTGAGTTAGAATGTATTCAGTTGAAAGTGGGGGAACAGATGAACTAGGGGACATATCAAAATAAAGATACTGACAACTATAATTGCATTAATAAAATGTCACATTTATCACTTCTAAGTGAACATCTAAGTTTTCCAACAGGTAATATAGGCTTAAATTTTAAACTGTTGGTAGTTATTAAAACAAAAGCAAGCATCCACACTATCTACTGCCACCAAGAATTCTGTGATTGTTCATTTCAAAGCAATATGAGTCATGTGGATGATTGAATACCATAGAAGTTATTTTTGTATCTGATATTTTAAATGTTAAATAACTTTTAACAATGTCTGAGTCCCACCACCTGGAACAGAAGTAAATACAGTAGTAAAATGGATCAATAAGCATGAGCAACACCAACCAAAACGATCCTCTCAGTGAAAAGATTCTGAATTTGATGCCACTTTAGTTCCATCATAGAGCCAGCATCACCAACTGTACTGTAGAGCAGGTGCAAATAATGTGGTAAATATGGGTTTCACAACATTCTTTACTACAACTATTCAAAAACATATGGCACTACGGCAGAGCAGGGAACAATGTCATGGTGAGGAAGGAGTTTGTCCACACCACTTGACCTTCTCCCTACAACTATGTCTTTGATCCTTGAAATGGTAGTGGTTTATAATGCTAAACAAACCACAAAGTACTGTACGTAGGTAGTGGCTCTTAATGTTGTGTCAGCCCAGTACATTAAACTAACCGCCTGAACATGTACTGAATACTAAATTTATACTACTGAAAGAAACAACTATTGATAGATCTCATGTGAAGCTAACCATTAATATTAAATGTATTAATGTGTGGCAAGAATGCCACTTCAATTCCAAGATTTTTAATATTTTATTTTATTCTCACTCCTTCAGTTACATATCTTTTATTAGTCTTCATTAATATTTTTATGTAAATAATTTATTAAGTACACTTTTTTATCCCTTTTTATGTTCGTTCTCATGTTAAGAATTTGTCTTCCAATTACTGACCTGTGTTTTAATAATGGATATATTGTCTTCTGGTTACTTTCCTGTGTTTTAGTGATGAATATTTAGATAACATTTTATCAGTATTTTTAACTGTTGTTTATAGACTACCAATTTTGTAGTTGTGAAATTCAATTAGAACTTATATCACAGTTTAATATGTTTCAGCAGATCACTCAAAATCTTCAAGTCAGTATCTATCTGTACCTAATGGAGGTCTGTCAGCACCAAGTGGAGGCCAAAAATCTTCAACAGAATCATCTTCAAGAACACATGATCAAATGAAATCTCTTAGTGCTAGTCATGCTGCTGAGGTTACTGTTGTTTCAAGAGAATCTGAACCTTTGAACTGTGAGAATCAGTCAGTATTTGGGATTCAAAGTAAAGAAAGCAAAACCAACAATGATAGCCAGTCAGTTATTGATAGTGAAAACAAGAATAACACTGATGATGAAGAACAGATAGTCACTGTAGGAGAAAACGAAGGAGACAAAATCAACAGTGAAGAACAATCAGTCACTGTTAGTGAAAATCAGTATAAGGCTAACAGTAATGAAGAATTAAACAAGGAGATGCAAACAATTGGAGACAACATAGCAAGTGCAGAGAAAGAGTCCCCTTCTTTTGAACTAGGATATTTTAATGGAGATGTTTTGGTATTTGGTTCAGCAGTAGAACAAGAAGTTCCACATATTGCAGGTAATGAATTCGTCTTTGTGATTAACCATCCTTTTTACAATTCTGGTGGCCAGTTTTAATAGGAATAGCCAGTTATTGTAAAAAATACTAATAATTAGTACATTTAAAAAGTAATTAAACCATTTTAAAAATAAGATGGATCATGACCTTTTCAACTTGTAAAATAATAACTATAATGTTTTTTATTTAGTGGAAAAACCAGACTTGATGGGAGAGCAAAAATCATATTACTATGTTCTTAGATACTGGAAAATACACTTTTATAAAATACTTTGCCCCATTGAGAAATAAAATCCTTTATACAATCTAGTAAAGAATGAGCAAAACAAAATAGTAAAGAAATAGTATTGAAAATATGCTAAAGTAAATCTTTTGTAAAAACTAATAATAATCCATTTTCCACATCAGTCAAGATTAGTAAGAATAATTAACTGATGTGAAATGCGAGACAGATATGTTTCTATGAGCAGAAATTCAAGCATTCAACAATGACTCAGACTTGAAATTTACCCTGAATGTTCTATCAGTATATGTTGTGAAATAGTGACAAAGATTTTGAGCTATTAACATTCTGATTGTTTTAACTCTTCATATCTTTTTTTTTTCCTTTAGCTAAAAGTCTCATTTGCAGTTTTCTTTGGCACTCATTATGGCTTCTTATGGAATCATTGTTGAATGATTCCTAGTGTGAAGCTGTTTTAGCCCATGTGCAACAAACTTCTTTTATACTATCAAAAATTTGTGACAATACTTCCATATATATATATATATATATATATATAATGTGTGTGTGGTATGTAGATATACACATTCATCTTGGTATCAAGGCTTTTTTTCTTAAAAGAATATAAATACTAACTTCACTTTGCACAAAGTAGCTTGTTTGGATTGTCTTATAAAGTTCACGACTTGCCTTTCCATCTAATAAATTGTTCATACACTTAGTAGACTGTTTCATTACATTGTTGGATGTTGCTAAATTATCTATTCATGGTGGGGGATCATACTGAATTCTTGATTCTTCTGTATTGGGGAGTTTCTAGAGGTTCTAACTCTTGGAGATTCTATGAGTCTTGGAACTCTTTGCTGTTGTTTTTAACAGGCTTGCCCAACTCTGCCTTTCATTGGCTACAAATGAAAGCATATGTCCAATCAGAGGATTCGTACTTATACTATCATTTGTTATTGTAAAGTTGTTGTAACACCCTCATCCTTTTCATAGAATGTCAGAAAAAAATAGTTTCACAGTAGCATGTAAACAGACATTTACTGCTTTCAAGAATAGCCTGATTGTTACTCTTGTTAACTCAATGAATCCTAGATATTTACCAGTTATAAACACAGAGGCAAATGACTGTAGTTATCATAGCCACAGGATGAAAAGAAAAACAATAATAATTTTTTTAGTAAATAAATGAACTTGCTAGAAAGGAGATGCTATAGAACATTTAAATATTGTCTGACATTTCCACCATTAATGGCTGGAGAAGGCTTGAATGGGTAATGAAGAAAAACTTTAATATAACAGCAAATGTACAACGTTTCGACAAGGTTTTGTCATCATCAGGTACAAAACCTTGT